TCGTACATTTGTAGGAAATTTAAACCCACATGACACACATGACGCTAGAAAATATCGTATAAAATACAATGTACAAAGTGGCGAGTGGTACAGAATGTGTGAACGAATGAGTAAAATGGTGGCCACGGTACAGAAACAAGCAATGCAAAATTACAGTGCGTGCATAAATCAAGAGTAATAGCCGGAAGGAATGTACATGTGCGCCGATACGTTTTTGTAAATCTTAAATAAAGATCTCGTTCTGATCTCTTTGTAACAATTTACCCGTGATTAATCATGCAAGAGTTGTGGTTCTACGTTATATCTCTCACCCGATTAATCTCCTTTTCTAGACGTTCGATTCTTTTTTTTTTTTTTTCCTTTTTGTAATTAACCGCGTCTTTTCCACAACACGCGTGACAACTTGCGGCGTAATCGACTTTCGAGTGTTATCTTTGGTGAAATCCTCTCCAAGGGGAACCGATGAGAGAAAGAAATCCGAGAGGCAGGCTTATTAATCTTCGTTCGTCCGATGCAACGACGCAAAAAAAACATTGATCCTGAAATGTTCGTGAAACAGAGAGAAAGAAAGAGAGAGAGAGAGAGAGAGAGAGAGAAGGGGGACAGCGCGGTGATTGGTCACGAACGTAGCGAGGCACCGTGACACACGCATTTGTCATAATCGTTCATGAAAGCGCGACAAGTTGCTTCCCCCGATCGACGAGATCCCGCGGCCGCTTCGTATTTCAAATATTTCGCGGGGGATCTACAAGAATCTAGCGGCGGTGGAAAGTCGTGAGGCCTATCTATGTCTGCTTTCCGTTCATGCATGCTTTCCGATAGATCGCCGTGGACGATAGCACGCCGCGGGCAGAAAATCGTGACGTTGCGAAACAACGCGGCCGTCGCTCGATCCGCGTCAATGCAAAGGTCCGAGGCAATGCAAGTCTGTCCCTTCTTCCTGCTTCTTCCTTCCCCTTCGCTTTTCCTCCCTGCTATTTTTTCTCTCCCGCGTGTTCGTTTCCTCGCAGATCATCGATAGAAAGGACGAAAACCACCGCGACGCTGCGATGCGCGCACGAACGAGAGAGAAAGATCGTTTTACAGCTGGTAGCGACAGACGTCCCAGTCACGACTTCTGGTTTGCCGGAGGACGATTAGAATCTTTCGGTATTTCTATCGA